ACTGAACTGTACTGTACCGTACCGCTCAGTGGAAACGAGCCATAATTTGGGAATTTGAACTCTGGCAACCGTAGACATGAAAGCTTATGAAGTAGAGGCATGTACAGCAGTCCGCAATAATATTTTGTCTCCTTTTTTTTGACAAAAATAAAAAGAGATTTTGGTATAGTTTATATTTTTTTTAAATACATTTCACTCTTGTCTTTTATCAATGATATTGCATGTTGATATAGTCACAGTTATTGTTTATTGACCTTATTGTCGTCATAGTCTCATTGTAGTCAGGGGAAAAAAGCTTGTCAATGAACATTTTTCATTGTGTGAACCATTACATGGCAAATCACCACAAATATTCAGCTTTTGTGTGTGATTAGCTTGTGTGTGTATGTACTCAAATTGTAGATTCAGCTGTCAGAGCTAAATGGGAACACCGGAAACTTTTTAATTTGACCCTAATAGTTCTGGTCATTGATGGAACTGTTTGCTATTGAGAGCTGTGTTTTATTGTGTGCGCTGACAATAGCAAGCATTCAGCCCTGTCCAGCTGCAGGACCTGTCAGTAAATAAATCACGCAGAGCTATTTAACACAACAGCAGCGTGTTTGATGAGGAAGTGTGAGGTACTCCCGCAGCTCTCCGAGTCCCAGCACCGGATGCAGGCTGAGAATCGCAGCAGATGGGAAGGTTCCTCTGAGGCGGCCTGTCAAACCCTGCCACATGCCACACACACCTCTGCCCCGTAGTCACTGCTCACGTCTGTGCGTTTGTGTGTTTGAAGCAAAGCATATGACATTGTGAAAGAACACGAGTTCTGTTTAGCTAATGAAGTGTGCTGCTGGAGTGTGTTTGAAAAGACAGCTTTGTCAATCTTGCTCATGGATCTCTGTCTTTTTTGCAGGGTGACAGGGGCTTTGATGGACTACCTGGTCTTCCAGGGAACAAAGGACATAGAGTGCGTAGAGAACACCAAATTGCTTAATCAAATCACACAGTCTGTTTACTGCTCACTTGAGAGTTTCTCTTAGATGTGTCTAAACGCTCCGCTTCACTTTTAATAGATCTAATTTAGAATTCATATCATGTGCCATATCTTAAATGTGACACTCATGTGAACATTCCTCAGGGAGACAGAGGAAAACCAGGACCCCATGGTCCACCTGGAGAGCCCGGTCATAAGGTAACACAGATTTGCCTTTACTTCTATTCTGTTTTTCGGAGCTTTGTGCAACCCCCTAAATGAGTCTTTTATCAGATTACTACTAATCCGTTTAAAGATCCCCTGCACTGCCTCAGGTGTGTACTCACAAATCGCATAAAAGAGACAAGTCGTGCACTGTGTGGGATGTTCTCATTATGCAAAGTTGAAAAATGTATGCAGCAGCGATTCACATTGATCACAGCTTTCAAGAATGGGAATATTTTTGCATACATAACCCTTCTGACATCCTTCCTCAAAGACCAAAGGCCGGATCTCACTTATTCTTTCTACCGCAATGAAGATGATTATATTGGCAAACTTGTTGATTGACATTTCCTATTACAGGGTTCGGATGGACCTGTTGGACCAAGAGGGCAACCGGGAGAACCTGTGAGTGACACGACCCAACCCACAGACAGATACACATGCACATGGGTGCATAAACACATACACGTCTCTGACATCCCATGGGCAGGCCCGTGTTCCTGCTTGGCACAGCCTGATTAACGGTGGCTCAAGCACCATTTAAGTCTCGGCAGGTGAGCTGTGATCCATTGGGGCTCTGGCTGTTTAAATGGATCACCTAGAGTAGTAAGGGACTTGAGCACCATTACGGCGCAGTGCCTGCCGAGAGAGAGAGATGCTGTGGAGATAAATGCGGGGATGGAGATAGATGAGCTGGGAGATTGTTGAAGGGAAGAGATGAAATCCTGGCCTGCAAGATTATATTTCCATATCAATCACCTCCCTGGAGATCACAGATGTGGCTCTGGAACAGGTGGCTTGGCCGGTGTACAAAGACCAAGACTGACAAAAACAAAACACACACGCACACACACACACACACACACTAGAGGAAAGAGGAGGTTTACACACATGTTCGCATACACATTAGCACAGATGTGCATAAACCAGCTGTAATCTTTAGTGATATACTGTTCGATCATTAACACACTTGACCTTCATAACGTTAAT